GTCCGATAAAAATCCTACTATATATAATCCGCTATGTGTGTCTGTGTGTGTGTCTGAGTGTGTGTGTTTGTGTGTGTGTCACGAAATTCATAGCGAGCGTCGCAGAAAAGATAGGATGACAGTTCCAAGAAGTGATATACATGGCAGGACGGGAACACTTTTGGTGGGTGACAGGAACCTGATAAGATTCGATAAGGGGCCTTAGAAGGGAAGGGTGACCGAATTCGTGGCAAGTTGCAGCAGCTGCGGGACCGTGATTTCAAGAAGTGATATACACGGTAGGGTGGTGGCTGACAGGAGCTGATAACATCTGATAAGATCCGATAAGGGACCCTAGACGCGGGTGTCACCAAATTCTTAGCGCAGGTTGCAGCGACCGTGGGACCTTGATTTCAAGATGTGGTATAGGGTAAGGGAAGTGGACATGATTGGTGTGTGACAGAAGCTGATAACATCTGATAAGATTCGATAAGGGGCCTTAGATGCGGAGGGTCACCAACTTTGTAGGGCAGGTTGCAGGGTCTGTGGGATCTCGGTTCAAAGAAGTGGTATAGGTGGAAGATCAGATGCATGAGGTTGTTTACTCAGTTTCCATGAACTGCAGCAACTAACTTTATCACTAACCATTACACTCTTCATCCCTGAGACGGAGTAGGTGTGGCTTTTGAGCATGGCATAGGACGGGTTTCTCGTGGGATACTTCAATTTGAAACAACTATCTTGTTCTGTGTTAGATGTAGACATGATTACGACTGCTCCAAAATGACAATATCTCACGAAAACCTGGGCCGCCGCCATTTAAAATCAAGTGCGCAGCCACGCCTACCCGATCTCAGGGATTTCGAGTATATCTTCCACCAACAACCCGAGAGAGGACCATTCGAAGCGCAAGACTGCCGAATGCGGGAGGTGCATTCCAGAAAAAACCCTACAGTGGTGGAGAAGCATTGAGCGGTAGGATGCTTCGAAGGCTGCTCTTACAGGTTGCTGAATTTTCGTGTGAGGGTTATGGAGATTTTTGGTACTAACCCCGAGAAAAGAATGGACAAAAGGATAGATTTCAGCGTTACATTGGGACAACGATGACAATTCTGTTCTGGATTGCCACCAGAACCTGCCGGTGCACCCTTTTATGACTGCCTGATTGATATGT